GTCTATGAATGTCAATGGTCGAACTCTCTTGACATTTCATAAACAAGAGCGCGATCGACCAATGAACCATTCATCGGGAAAATTGTCGGTAATTATCAATTTAACTTAAATTAAGCTCAATGATATACTTCAAGTATAATCCTAACTTAAATTTAGGGAAAAACTTATGAAGTATCCTCATAGAAATATTGATCAGCTTATACATTTAAACTATTCCAAATGAGCATTTCAGGAGATATCGATTTTTTCGATTTGTATTCAAACTTTTCTACAATAGCACATAATATATTTTATCACTCACTACATTAATTAACCTCACATAGATTCCTCGTTTAAGCTAAAATCAACATTACCATGGTATTAGTTAAGGCTATAACACAAAATGATATATTCCTCTTGAATTTGTGAGAAATAACTCATCATTCAATTTTATCTAGCTAAGTTCAAATTTAATTCAAATACTTGAATCCTATAAAATATCCAAGATAATATATAAATTGCGCAGATGACATGCTGCATAGATGAATACCTTCCCTTATATCATTCCTATCATACTTTATGCATATTTTCCCTCAGTACATTTGAATCATCATCAACTATCATTCGGGTTTCTTCATCAAAATTAATGCTTTAATAATTACTTGATAGAGAAAAAAAATCATTATCATAATCATTTTTCATTAAAAAAAAGAAAAATTAAACAAGAAAATTCAGGATCTTATCATTACAAGCATCCCTATTAAATTAAATCGCGACATTCATTTAGTCAAAATTCTAATCATTGTTATCAATCACGATTAATCATGGTTTCAATGATAAATACCTGATCATCTCATTTCCATCATTTATTCGTGTTATTTTATGTGAAAAATTTCGAAATATCATGTAATTTTCATAAAAAGAGGACAAAAAGTTGTCTAATATCTTGTTTTAATAAAAATAAAAGACCGTTCAAGAATATCTAATGAGTTGCAGGAAATTTTTTAATTTATTTTAATAGGTCACTCATAAACAAGTAAACCAGTATAAATAAGTCACTGATGTCATTCATTGAGAAAGTGAATGAAATGAATGATAAGTAAACAAACTTCATAATTAATAATTTTTCAAAATATATTTTGGATAGATGTTGAATTCTTTCCGTACAAATCAATAATTTAATTTATATGCATTGGTCCTATACTTTATCCTTATCATCATCATTCACTAAGGAAATCTTAATGAACGGCAAAGTAATACCTTGCAGCCTAGCATTCATTCTCATTGTCTTTATTAAAGTTCAACGTCGATAATTTACGGTAATGTATGTTAATGGATTGGGAGAATACCTGGAGACAGCTGCACGGATGGATGGAAGAGTGGAAATGAATGAGGAAGTAGCACCTGCTAAAAGTTTTCTACTAGTCTTTCACATTTACTAATCACTCAAATGCCACCATCAATTCATTTCATTTTCATAATCTCTCTTTACCACTTCTAATTTGTCAAGAACATTGTTCCATTTAACTGTAGTCTCTTTCTTAATAAGTCAAAAAAAAAAAATTGTGGTAAGCTATAATAAAGTGCCAGAAATTCAACCACTCGCATAACTCAAATTTCATTTGTTCCAAATTCTTGGCTCAATTAAAATTAAATTAGCATGAAGGGAGGATTGATAGAACCATAGATGTCCAATTGAAGGTACATCATTAAGAATTGGATCAAATTTAATTTCGATTTAATTTCTTCCATTCTTTTTTAACTTTGTCCTTCCAATATGTTTGTTTTGTTTGGATTAAAATATATTGCTTATTGCTTATGATGAGAAATAAAATGAGCAAATTAAATTGGAATTGTTCCACTTGTTTATCTTCTGCTAAATGAAACCGCTGTTCTCAATTTTATTTCCAATGCCACTCATCAATTTATCCCAGCTATTTTTCCCTTTCTGTTGCTTTAGTTTCAAATGACACATTCTATGATTGTCTCAAATTTCAGAAAGCTAATTTTCATATTTTAAAATAATGCTTCATTCATTTTTTTTCCTTCTAACTCACTGAAAAATTTCGAGATGTCCATTAAATACTAAATTGGAAATTTATTTAAATGTATAGGCTGTGAAAACATCGGTTTTTTTTTTTTGTCGTAAATGATGATTAAAAAATAATCAGTTAAAGGGTAGCAAATCAGCTTATCCTTTCAACATTGATACTATTCAAACTATGCCAAATACAATTAATTAATTCTTTCATTTTGATATTAATATTTAGTTGATTTCTTATTTTCGGTTTGATAAATTCAAGAAAGTGATTGCTATGGCGGAAAGAATCAATTATTGCTTTAAAAATTGCGCTTTTTTTTTTCAGGCGAAATAGAAACTATCGAATATTCCAATTATTCCTTTGGATTAATTTAAATGATCTAACAGCTCAAACTTGAATATTTTATAATTGTGAGTAACAACGAAGAATCTGGAAGTGAAATGAGGTAAAAAAAATGCATCAATGTAGTAACATCTGATGCTTCTTAGCTACTGTATATCCTCGCGATTTATTCTTATGATCGTTATCCTGCTATCCGCAGTACATCATCATCATCATCATAACTGGTCTACAAATGCTTCACATCCGCCATCTTCATGCACCGTTGAAAATGCTATTTGTTCTGCTAGCGATGCACGTATTTGCCGAAATTCAAGGTCAATTACAATCATTGAAAAATTTAATTCTCAATAATAGGTTCAAAACTTTGGGTTTTTGTTTTTTTTAAATCCTCAAAAAAAGACTGGAACTTATATTTTCTCATTAAAAACATATTCAGAAATTCTTTTAGAATGAAAATTTTAAAAAAAGTGCGAAAAAACGTCACATATAAGTTTAAGAAGATATATGTCAATCCTGATTATTTTTTTTTTTAAAGAAGCTTAGAAATTGGGTATAAAATGAAGATTGAAATCTCATTTAGAAGATGAATTCTGGAAATGAAATTTAGAGGATGAATGCAATCCTCGAAATCTATTGAATTCCAAAAATTGCTTAAAGCTAAATATATAAGAGATATGAGACATAGGTATGCCTTAGGAAGTTATTATTAGTTTGACGCAATCAAATTTGCTTGATCATTTATTTTGATTGGTACATTTGTCTTTTATCGCCTAAGGAATGCTTGAAATTCAAGTAGCAGTGATTTGCTTTGCATCATCATGCAAACATCATTTTCAATTTAAAAAAAAGATTTGGTTCTTTTTTTTTCGTCTGAAACAAAATAAGATCTTTGAGCTCATAAAATTCAGATAAAATTAACTTAGCTGTGAGAAAGTTTTAGTAACAAATAAAAAAGTGATAAAACTAAAACTTTCTCACAATTAAGTCAATTCGAATTGAACTTCCAACAACTATGCTGCTTTTTACTTGTCTCTTTTTTTACTTTCTGCTTTTCCTTTAGCTCTTTGAGGATTGTTTTCAATTGCATTTGCTATTATATTTATTTGTTTTCTACATTTCTTTTCCAGAGATTCCTTTGATTCATTAATAGTAAAACAAAATGAATGAATGAATTTTGTCGTTAAGTCTATAGAAAGAAATAAATTTTACATTTGGGTTTCCTCATTTAAAATTAGCCATTAAAATGAAAAGGAAAAAAATTCTTTATTTCCAAAAAATGAGGAAGCAAGAAGAAAAAAAGGAGTGCCGCTGTCATATTCCGGGAGAAATACTTCATTTTTATTGTCCGTTGAGCAAATTCCCCGATAAGAATTCCTCGTTTTATAATTAAATTTCAAAAATAAATATCATTTAGAATGTGAAATGAGCTGAATTTTTCATTCACTGAAAAATTTGTCTGGAGAATCAAGAAAAAGACGGAAAATTTAAGTTACGGAATGAAATCCTAGAAGATAACGTTATTCTTATCCTATTGGGAATATCCAAAATGACAAAGAATGAGTGGATCGGATCGTGGTATTGATATTCCAAAATGAGCCCATTAATGGTCAATATTTTAGATGTCAACTGCTCCATTTTCATCCTATATATCAGTCAAATTTGTCTATTTTTGTCATACTTTCTCTTTCAGATCATTTAACAAAAGTTTAACAGCAAGAAGATGAAAAGATTGAAAGCATAATTCTCTCCTTATTCCATTGGGTCTGTTTATCATTAGAAGCAAGAAAAAAAAAGTAAGGATGAGAGAAGAAAGAAAAATGATGTTGTAGTTCCTAGTTTGGTACAAGGGACATCCATTCTGTATGCGACAATAACTCAGCAATGATGTCGCATAAATGAAACAACTTTAAATGTTTTTGAAATAGAGGAACGAGGTGGATGTAACCAAAAAAAAAACAACAGGATTTGATCTTACTCCAAATTAGTTAGACTAAAATACATTGATATCCTTTTTTAAGTCCATTTAAACGATTTAAGCATATGATTTATACATACAAGTAAAGTAAAGTAAAGTAAAACAAACAGAGCTAATTTAGAGGAAGTTGGTGTAATTTAAATAAAGTTTAAATTTTAGCTGTGTATCGGTGTGCTCAACACGTGGTATGAAAGAATGCGAATGTGACTTGGAAGAGGACAATTACTGCTATCTGTGCTGTGGCAATTCGAATTCCCGGTGCATGCCCGCACATCAGTATAATATCCTGAGGTATTCTATTTCACTATTTCTTTTCTTTTCAAACTTCTTTAATAGCATAGCTTCATAGTAAATCTTGAGTTATCAAAATAACTTGTCAATTATTAAGCACTTAGCAGTTAATTTCCAATTCAGAATTGTATCATAGGTCTACAAATTTAAATTTGTAAACTTCACTTTTCAATATATATATAATGTTTTCTTAATAATAAATTAGAAAGTGTACGGTAATTAGTTCAGGATATTTTCTAGACCATCTCGATAAGATCCCATCATCATATTCTATTTATAGAATTCATACATTCCTTACAGATAATCATCTAAAGTTCATTAATTCTCATTGAAGGACCGCTTCATTTACATGGGAAAATTTTTGCCGATTTTTTCAAAAAATGTGTCGTAAAAAATGAAAGAAGAAAGTGCATGAAGAAAAAACAATGTATGATTAATATGAATTAGCAAATTATGTTAACTGAAGCTGATATATTCCAAAAAGTGTCTACTATTTTATCATCAGAGAAAATTTCAAATCTTTTTGTCAAAATAAAAAAAATTAATTTCTCAATTTTATCTATGATAAGCAAATTGAGCCATACAAGAAAGATTGATTAATTGAAATGTCACAATTAAAACTTGAATTTCAATCAATTTCGCAAATATCGCTATAAGACACAACAATCATTTGTATATTTGATACTTAAATGCATCTCTATATGTGTAATCAAATTTATTTCCCATACATTTTTCGAAAAGCAAAACAGAATTTGAGTGTTGTGACCAAAAATGATTCATTCAATTATTTACCTCTTTACAGTCATTCTTTTTTTTTTTTGTAAATAAAATTTAAGGAGAAAACATTTTTTTTTCCTAGTTGTCCTTCCAGTGAAGCATTCATCCAAAACTGATTTCCCCACCACCTGCTGATTTATCACCAAAAAAGAAAAAGAAAAGAAAAGAAAAAGACGAACACAACAAAAAGTGCATTTCCTTGTTGAAATGGTAATAGAAGAAAGACTTATTTAGATATGCTCAAAATTTTCAAAAATAACACAAAATCTGAGGGGTTAAAGAAAAGATTCTGATAATGTATACTTAATTTCGAATTAAAGTTTTAGGAAAAATTTAGATACTAAAAAATGCGTTTCTATTTGAATTCAATCTTTTCCTTCTCTTTTTGAATGACAAAAAAATTGAAATTAAATTTTGCAGAGATAACGGAGAAAGATGGGAACGTGAAGCTTGCGCACTTTGTCGTCAAAATGGAGCAGAATTGGAAGGTCTGGCATGTGATGACACGGATCCAGCACGATTGTGCCTTCAAGGCAAATGCTCAAATAGTATATGCCATGATAAAAAACCTGGGCAATATTGCGATCGAAAGTTAGCCTTATCATTCAATCTTATCTGATATATTATTGAACTATCGTTCATCCATATTTATCAAAAAATAATTTTATAAATGTGTAGACTGAGGAAATGTAAATTCAATGGATAAGTATGCAAATTTCCAAAATATAAATTTAAGTGTCACTTTTCTTTTTGAAATTAGCACAAGTGTCAATTTAGCGTCAGGAAAATCTGATGAAGTAAAAGTTCAATGAGAGATGGGAATTTAGCCTTTTGCAATACTATATTGAACGATATTTATGATGGTATTGTTCATTAATCCTTCGAAGACCCCAATTTCAATCTTAAGTGATATTGATTTTCTCATTAAGCAAACCCAGGCATGAAGCTTGTTGAATGTTCAGGATGGAAAAAATATGTGTGGATGATATTTGTGAAAATCCATGTGCTCGCATCAGTCCTCATTTGATGGTTTGTGATTGTCCTTTGATTGATCCTGATACGGGATTCGCCTCTGATGATCGTTGTCAACTTTGTTGCTACGATTTTAATGTGGTAGGTATACAGTTATTCAATGTCATTTATAATTTTGACGGAATATCATTTTCCAATAATTTTTTTTAGAAAAAAAAAGAAAAACAAGAATTTTTAGCTGATTTAAAATTATGAAACGAGAAAAAAGTGAAAGGAAATTTTAAAAACTTACAGTTATTTTGTCAACTTTATGTCAAATCTTAAATTCAATCCAAAATTTATGAAATAAAACAAAAATAATTTATTTTGTTCAAACAACTCATTTTTTCGATTATTTAATACTGAGAAATAGCCTATAGAGCATATGACATTTATATTTCAATTTTCATTATGTAAACAAATATGCATTGAAAGCTTCACGGGAATGGAAAGCCTAATAAATGCACTTTTTTAACAATTACTAGAGGGATGAAACAGTTACTCACTTGCTAAAATTACATTAAATGTGCAAATATTCGCTTCATCTAAAGTAATAATATTTCAAGTGATATTATTTATTACCTTAACTCATGATAATGAAACAAAATGATTTCGGTCAAAGCGGATTCACTACTGCATTATATTAAGTCAAACACTCAAATTCCTCGAGTACTACAAAATTCGGGAAAAATCTTACACATAATTTAAATAAATGAATAATTCGAAAAAACCAACGATAAGATTTTTTGATGAAGAAATGCTACAATTAATTCTTGTACTAACTACAATTCGTCCAATCTGCTGTAAGAAGCTAATCTAAATTGCAAAGTATAAGTAAAATTATTCAAAGTTAACTTTACTGCAGAAGATATAAAGATGTCTAAGCAAATTGATTTCGAAAAGAAAATAAAATACAAAATGAAATTTTGGATGAAAAATTTAAACTCAAATGATATTTATTGCAGAAACCTGCATCAAGACGCTGTCAAAATGCATATCGTCGATTTAATTTAGCATCAACCCATAATAGGCCTATTTGGCGTGTAGGTCTGGACTGTGCTGGTGGCAAAAAATGTAATCGCTACGGTGTTTGTCGTGGTCTTTCATTGCAACCAACACTTTATTTAACACTATTCTCACTGCTATTTTCCATTTGCTGCCTTATGTTGTGATGTTGCCGGTGGTAAAGATAATTATAATGATTATGAGGACGACGATTATAATGAATATGGTTATGATGATGATGATGATGAAGGTGATATGATGATGATGATGATGGTGATGGTGATTATGATATGAATGACCATTTTATTGTGCAATGATTTTAAAACTTTAACTTAAAATTTAATGTTTCATTTTTAGCATTTTTTTTAGCACACTTTTTCTGTCAGTTAGCAATGATTTCCTCATAACTAATTCCCATGAGGCAGATTAAGCTATAAAAACAGTCAAGATCCCAAGGAGGAAGGAAGATGTAAAAGAAATGGATGCTATCAACATATGTCAACTGTCAAACTGTAGCAAATCATAGAGCCTTCCCTCAACTTCTCATCTAGGGTTTGAATTCTCATCTAGGGTTTGAATATCTTTAGCAAAATCTAAATTTCTTTCCAAGCAACAATTTTATTGAAGGTCACTCAAATCAAAAAAAAGCTTCAAATCCCATGAGAATTTGTAAGGACAAATATTTTGAAGGCTAACCTTTGTCCAGATGATTACTGGTTTTGGTGTACCAGTTACTGAACAGTCCAGCAGTAATGGCCTTCCAACAGTGATTGATGGATTTAAATTGGTCATATCCAAAAAGCGAGGTGGCTCTGAAATAAATAGAAACTTGAAAAAAAATCCTTTTTTCTCGCAAATTCTAGAAAACTTTATATAAATTTACAGTATAAATGCTTATATCTCTCAGTTTTCAACAATAAATTATGCGAAAAAAAAAAAATTCAATTCATTCACGCAACATGTTAAATTCATCAGTTTTCCTCCTCTGCCTTCAATCCTATCATAATTCGAAAATTAAATACTCTCTAAATCATCAATTCATTCGCTTATGTTAATTATTCACAATGACTTTTCATATATGCTTCATTACAATGAAAGTTTTTATGCTAGTAGGTTACTATTGCAGTTTTATTTATAGCTTACAATTAGCTAAATAACTAATGTTACGTTTTCAATAAATTAAGTATCCCAGTAATTCGGTTTTGTAATTATACAGTACCCAGTGATGGTGTGTTCAAACCAAATGAAGAATTATGAAATGAAATCGAGTATTAAATTTGATTATACCATGTACAATAAGCTCGTATGTTTTTCTTGCTTCTCCTGCTTCATTTTGTACTACACAAACATAGCTACCCGAGTCGCTCAAACGTGCATTTCGAATTTCAATTCGTCGATCGTCCACCTAACAAAACGGATATATCAAATGTAAATTAAATGAAAGAAACTGAACATTAAGCCTAAATTTCAAAATGAATCTTTAAGCTTGAATTTTAAGCTGAATTTTATACTTTAAGTTTTATTAATCAGAATCATGTAGGGTATGAATAAGAAATTAATTAATGACTTTAAGGAGCAAACTTTAGGCAATAATGCTTTCTAATATCCTTTACATTATTGATGTGATAGAATGTTTGACGACAAATACAAGTAAGAAGGAAAATATTTTGTTAGTTATAAGCAAACAATAAGTGGAATGCTTGGATCAAATATAATTTTTATTTCCGAACTTGAATATGTGTTCAGTATTGCAAAAAATTCCAATTCTAGTTTTCCTGGACTCGAAAAGATTCTCAGTCTTATATCAAATTTATGAAAACATGCCAAAATATTTGGACTAATTTGTCCATTTTCCACTTCTCGTCCATCAATAATCCATTTTGTTACCAATTTTCCAGTACCACTAAGTACTTTGCAAGTTAGAATGACGAATTCGCCTACCACCACCTCCATTTCCTGGATATCACGATCAAGGACCGGTGGAGCTAAATAAGATCGAATAGTGAAGTTGAAACGACCAAAAATAAATCTCTTTAAAAAAATAATTGTGCTATTTTAATCATACTAACAAAAAACTCATTCTTCGGTCTAAATTAAATAGAATGAAATAAAATCATTAGCTTTATAACACTTCAAAATCATTTCTCATAGTATTTCAATACAGTCAATTTCGAAATTTGATAATAATAATAATGATTCAATTTGAACTAAATTCAGGCTTCGATGACACTTCAGAAAGGAGTACCAGTAAGTTTGATGATAAAATCACGAGTTGCTTGACCAACTTTATTTGTTGCTGTACAAGTATAACGTCCATCTAAACCTTCACGTGCAGCGTTTATCCATATCGTCTGATTATTATTAAGAAATGCTAAATCGTAATCCGGTTGAATCAAACGATTATTTCTGGTCCATATGATCTAAAAGGATTAAGCAAATGTCTTGGGAACAAAGGATAAGAAGAAATAAGATTCAAAACAGTTTGAATGGTTCAAAGTATTATGAAAACAAATTTTAATCGGAAATAGTCAATAATAACAAGCCTTAGGCTCTTTGGTATCTTGGCCTTGTGAAATAAAAGACCTAACAGAGCAATCATTATTGAAGAAGTATGATTCATACAAGTCGGATTAATTACAAATACAAGTTTACAAGATTAATGAAATTAAAAAAAGTAATAAAGTCAGAACCAATGGAACTGAAAATTCTAAATTTTGGAAACAACAAACCTGTGCATCAGGAAGAGCCTGAACTATACATTCCAAAGTAAAGCCAGTCCCGGGAATTATTGTTTGCAACGGCGGTGAGGAGGAGGTTTCGCTGATGATTGGTGGGACTGAAATTTCAAAATTCAAGTGGAATTCAATAAATACTATCAAAAATTTGCATGAAATATAAAATCATAAAATTTATCATAGATTATCACGTCATTTTACAACACGCTTATGTTTTTTTCACTTTATTGCCATGACTTCAAGGATTTAAAATTCACTGAAAACTTACCCAAAACATGCAAATCATATATTTTCTTAGCTTCACCCGCAGTATTCTGCGCAATACAAACGTATCGAGCAGTATCTAAGATCTGTGCTGACAAGATATGCAAAATTCGACCGCGAGAGGAAGCCTTAAAATGGTTTTTTGAGAATTTCCTCGTTAATTTCGAAACTTTCTCGAAACAAGACAAATATCAGATTAAAAGTAGCAGCAAATAAATCAACCTGAAGATAGCTGGTTGCAGGATGTGACTCTCCCACAAATTCCATAGTTTTCCCGTCACGTAACCATTCGATATCAATTGGTTCAGTGCCCGAAACATCACAAAACAAATCTTTTGCTTCATTGACAAACACCTCGACTAATTCCTGCTTATCACCACCTATTACTGGACTTCCTAAATATAATTCTATCTTAAAATTGTATTTTTGATAAGCAGTAACACTCATCGAATTTAAGTTAAATATGTGGTACTTTTAAATTGATTTTATATTATTACCAGTTTTAACTAAATCAGACATGTATATGTAGTATCAACTTACTGATGACTTGAAGATAGGTTTCCAAATCGGCTAAACCAATATCGTTTGTTGCTATACATGTATACCTGAAATATTCCTGTAAATTAAAAAGTAAAGGAGAAACTGCCAACTAAATGGAAAATTGGTAATTATATCGGTCCGTTTACTTTTCATCCCGTTTAGCTTATTGCACAAAATTTTTTCCGTCCATTTTTCTATTTTTCTTTCCCTAAAACAATGAAAGTTGTTATAACTGCATAATAAGCATTTATATTAATATTCACATACGTAAAAGACGTGTTTTCATTTATTTAAAAACAAGTAATTAAATGAGTTTTGGAGAGATGAGTAATTAACAATTATACCTTGCATCATCGGTCGCAGAAGTATCGCTTATTTCAAGTTGTCGTCCACCATTCAGAACAGCATGACGACTACCGGTTCCCAATGGTTGTCCATTTTTAAGCCATGCAATGGTTGGTTCAGGACTACCGAATACTGGACAATTAATAATCGCGGTTCGACCTTCGTTCACCTGCATGCGATGCAGAATATTCGGTCCCTCGATCGTTGGTGCTTCTAAATTTGAAATATTTTTTCAGGTACTAAAGCATTTGAGCGATTGTTTCGCTTCGAGAATATCAAATTAGCAATATCATTTTATAGATGTAAAAAAATTGGGAAATGATACGTAAAATACGTCGGTACTATATTTAAGTACGACTATCGAAATACTATGCTTATTATCGATTTTTTACATTTCAAAACGATCGTATACCTAATAATTTTACGACGAAATCGTGTTTTTCTTCACCAGCTGGATTTCGTGCGATACAAGTATAACGATCAACATCATTCTAAAAGGAATGTCATTTTCTGAGCTAAACATTAAATAGAATGTTACCTAGATATGGATCAGAATTTTGAAAAATAAACATGGATTAGAAATTTTGAGAAATTCTGTTAACTAAATATGGACCAGAAATTTTTTCGATCAGAATTTTGAAACTTCTTGCTAAGAAAATGCACCTGTGTACCTGGAATTACCGGGAATTTTCTATCAGTTAGCTGTGGCGAAGATTCATCATTACTTAACATTTAACGGAAACGGAATTTTTAATTTGATTCTTAATTCTTGTCCTTAGACAAATCTCAGAACATTTACTTATTCATTTAAAGGTGTTACTGTATTTTCTTATTCCAGATTTACCATATATAACGCATTTTCTACAAATGAACAACAAACTTTTTTCAAATTCAAAAAGTGTAATTTCATTCCGTTAGCAGATAAGTAAACGTCAGAATCATGATAAAACGGCCTGCCAGCTTTTAACCATGTTACTGTAGGCGTTGGTCGACCGTATGCTGGACAATTAATTGTCAGAGCGCTTTGTGATTTACCGCCAATTTCTGCAGGTATCCTTTCACGTTCTATTTTTGGTGGCGCTATAATAAAATTTTATTGGTTCATTTCTTAGCATCACGTTAAAAGAAATTGTAAAATTTTCGGAAGTCAAAGGTTAGCATGCTTTTTGAATGAGAAAGTTAACATTTAACTGAAGGATTCTTACAAACTAAAACTGATTTAACTGATTCTTACAAACTAAAACTGATTTAACTGATTCTTACAAACTAAAACTGAAATTCGAAAGATATTCCTGAATCAGGACGTTACTTTCTGATGCATATGTGGCCATCTGATTTCTTATGAACTATTTATGTGTTATATTCAAAAAGTAGAAACTTACTCATGACGTATAAGAGAATGTCTTGTTCTACCATTCCGGCCTTATTTTTTGCTTCACATGTATAACGACCGGAATTTACTACCTGCAATGTTGTAGGCAGATCATTTGATAGCTACATCAAACATGAATAACTTATACATTCTTATTTCCTCTCTCTTATAGTTTTACCCGTTACCTGGGTAAAAAAACCCCAAAATTCTAAAAACATATTATTTAGAGTACAATATGGCCCAATGCCTGAAATGATGCAAATGATCATAGAACAAAGCAACTTACTTCTACGCGTTCGATTCTCAGGTCATTACCTTGCAGATATCCTGTATCTATTCTTTTCGTAATATTGAATTGCGTAAGAAGTTCACCATCCTTAAACCATTCCACTACTGGTTCCGGTTTACCAGTTACCGGACAACCTAATGTAACTGCACTGTTCTCGATTACTGTTCTGCGATGTATATATAATGTGAAACACAAATTTTGAATTCAGTGAATATTTTCAATTTTTGTTCATATCTAGTTCATCATGAGAGAATAAGTCATATCAATTTCAGGTCAATTACGAAAACTCTGTCGACACAAGACAATATGATAAAAACTTTGCATATTCAAAATTACTAAAGTTTTTTCAATGGATTTTTCCTTTAAAAAGATCATATTGGAGATTATACCTGTTCTTGTCCTTATCTAGAATTAGTATTTCCGGTGGAAGTAGAACATTTAGCTTGTAGTCAACTCTTGATTCACCAGCATCATTCCTGACATGACAACTGTAGCTTCCCTCATCACGTAGGTCAGCTCTTAATAATGAAAGCATAGGGTTTCACAAGAATAAGGTATCATACATATCACTGAAAGCAACGTATATTCAAAGAATAAGATAAGGCAAATCACTCAAGGATCGATGGATTCCCGGTGAAAAACCATAAGCCTTCAGAAGATCGAATTTGTAAAATGCCTCTTAGAAGAAGAGGAAGAAATCCGTCAATATTATTCGCTCAATTTATTAAACTGATAAATGTCCACTAATGACTGCTCATTAATCAAATTGTAGCACTTTAATTGCTGCTTTGAAAGTGTTGAAAATTACCGATTAATATGAAGTTTACGACTCAGCTGGGACATTGCATATTTCCATCCATCAATTTTTATTGGCTGGTAATCTTTTAACCTGAAATTATCAACATCACGAAGAGAATCTGGTTATTTTTCACCTCCGATGGATGAGGCTAATGATAATTCGGCCATGTACTTTTAGTCTATTGATAAGCTTAGGTGGAAGTAAAAGATTCACAATTTTACGAAATGAAACTTCTAATTTTCATCAATCGTAAAATGTTAGTGTTTCAATTTCGCTTGCTAATGTTGCTAACATTCTGGGATCTATTTGAGTCAAGTGAGTTAACCATAAGATTGTAAGTATTAGTTTAAAATGATAAAAATAGGAATAGAATTCAATGTACCAAGTGACTTCGTCGGAAAATCTTTTGTCAATTATTGGACAATGGATGACAACCGAATCGTTCCGTATCACTTCAGTTATTTTCTTCACATCTTCAGCAATTGCAGGACGAGCTAAATGAGACATCTCACCATTACAAGTTAAGTAGGACAAAATTTAAATTTCGTTATTAAAATAAGATTTTACCACATACCAAATATTAAAAAGAAAAATTGTGTATTACAGTTGACACATCCTAACATAGTTTGACAATTTCAACATGGTGTTATTTTCTGGCCAAATGGTGCCCTAAAATATTCATAGGCATTTATTTCCACTTTCCACTTACTTATGACATCCACATCAAAATTAATTTCCGCTTGGCCAACTTTATTCCGCGCTAGGCAGACGTAAGATCCACGATGTTCCACATCAGCCTGCACAATTTTAAGCTGTTGTCCTTCTGAAAGCGTCTGTACTGAATTAAGTTCTAGCGCTGGCTTACCATCCTGGAAAAATCTCATATACCAATCAAACAATTCATTTAAAGATATGCAAATGCGATAACAATGAGTAACTAATGCTATCATTCTCTTCTTGCAAGAGATTTGCGAAAAAGTCTTATCACGATAACAGTAATGATAACAATCCAAATATCACTAATATCGATTATCTTGGAAAAGAGAAGAATAAAATCATTTGGGCTAAATTGACAATGAATTAAGGAATACTCTAACCTTAATCCAAGTGATGGTTGGATATGGCTCGCCTTCAACTTCGCATGGTAAAACCAAAGAATTATTTTCAATCACTTTATATAGCCCACCTCTGCCAATAATCATTGGTGGCGCTGAAAGATTACGGTATCGGAAATGAAACCGGTGTGGCGTTAATTACCAAATCCAGTATATCGTTAGGTAAAGCCTTTTTGTCAGCAAAATTTCGCTAATTTTTAAGTTACATATTACTGAAACTTTTGTAATACTGTAAAATTGATTTACCGATCACTGATAATTTATAATTTTTGCTTGTTTCACCGGCTTTATTACGTGCCACACAACTATACATTGCTTGATCATCCGGCTGAACGTCAGAGATAACGAATTGTCGCCCACCATTTAAAATCTGAAAACAATTAATTTGAAAGTTTCAAAAATATTACAGAATTGTAAATCAGAAGCAAAAGAAGGAAAAAAATAAACTGGATAGATTATCATCGGTCACCTGTCAATCGACATTTAATTAATTCAGGTGATTTAACATTTCCTCCTACAATCAGTAAGTACTTGAGATATTGAAAATAGCGAATAATGATTACCTGTATATTATCGCTATAACCAGGAGCAAGAGGGACAGAATTTTTGGTCCATGAGATATCGGCATCCGAAGTGACCGGTAGTGGACATTCAAGACTTACTGGCCGATGTTTAAGTGTTTCGATTAATGCTGTTACATTAGCATTTTCCAATTCTGCAGAGTATGTAGATGCATTTAATATAATAAATGTCAAAGGTAGTTGTAATTTATACAGAAACACACCTACCAGGTTTCATGATAACGCGTACATTGAATGTTTTCTCAGCACGACCAGCTTTGTTGATAATTCCACAACGATAACTTCCACCACTTTCAGAATTCACCGATGGTATCAATACAGTTCTTTTCTCATTCAAAAGCTGTAATTATAAGTTTCAAATATTGATTATCGATAAGGGAAGATAGTATTAGTTAAATATTAAAGATTTCGAACTTTTAATTAAGTTTATTTGAATAGTTTACTTTTTTTATCTCTTAAACGACTTTTTAAAATAAGACAAGTTTTTCTCTGGTTAACTCATTTGTATTCTATTTCACCGTCCTGAATTCGCACTCATCAATGGATACATATTACCTGAACAATGAGTGGGAAAGCTAAAAGATATGCCAGAATCCGTCTACCTGTACATCATCTCCAACATCAACGCCATCTTTAGACCAGTGTATGTCCGGGATGGGATCTGCTTCGAAGTCACATTCAAGTTCCAACGATTCATTTTCCACAATTGAAATATGCTCGACTGCTTTGCCAGTAATACTTGGAGGAACTATAATCGAATTCAGCTATTTTAATATTTCTTTGCTAATTAATTTGAGGTTTGTAATTCAATTCCAAGATGCGAACTTATAATTAAGCTCATATTTTATTGTTACCGAAGATTAATAAAACAAATTTTCAAAGCATCTACCAATGACTGTAACATCAAATTCTCGTGTTGCTTGACCAGCTGAATTTCGTGCCACACAGGTATACGTCCCTTCAGCTTCCTTTTGGATACTTACCACTACTAATCGAGTTTTATCCAACGAAATTTGCATATTTGTATTATCCAACTGAAAGGAATATGCAAAATTTCCCATAAAGACGGAGATATTTCTCAAAACTATATCCTACTGAATGGAAGTTTGAATTGAATATATAAAGTAAAATACTCAAATACAGTTATTGTTCTAAACATCCATTCTGGTCTCCATTATGTAACCTTTCGGATTATATGAAAAAATAAACCAGGATTATTATGGAAATGGTTAATAAAATACCAAGTTGACAGTGTAGTTGACAATTTGAAACAGAATTGGAACAAAGAAGGCGAGCAGTAATAGAAGCATTTAAATTATAGTTCAAATACTAATATAATTATAAATGTAAAATGGTAACCAAATTTTGAGTGACCAGGACTTCCATTCATAATTGAAATTACTGATAACGGGAAAAGAAATGTGAAACCGTTATTGGACGTCCATTTTTAAGCCATTCTATATCCATAATATTAATTGGGGTGGATAGTGGACATTCCAAAGTTATTGCATTTCCTTCGGTAACTTCAATTGGCCCATAATCATCAGAATCAATCATTGTCGGAGGAGCTATCATCTGAAATAAATAAAAATAGCTATATTAAAAATATACAAAACAAAGATGATAAAGTTTTTTCCAGGAAGTAATAACAATCACTAGTGACGATTATTCTTCGCTACCGTGAAGAGCTCCAACTCAATCTGGATGGAAATTTACCTGAAGAATCTAAGCATACCTGAACAAGAAATTCACGTGATATACTGCCAGCCTTGTTATTCGCAATACACGTATACCTAGAAGAATATTATGATTTTAATCTTCACCTCAGTTTATGAGAAAACTTTCGACACGGTGGCAAAGATTTATAAGATTCCGAACTCTGACACTACTCTGATTTAATTAATGATTGGTACAATATGTAACAAAACTACCTTCCAGTCCAGGATTGCTTAATTTCCCATAAACTTTCCCAGAAATTTTTAGTTAAATTCCATTTGCTATCTTGCCTTTTCATTAAAAACAACAAATTTTTTTAAACAATTCTTTCTCCTATATGTGAGGAAATATAAATTTGGAAGTACCTGTGATTAGCGTAATCATTGTGCTGTACGACTAGTTTCTGATTTCGGTCACTTATTGAAGCATGACTTTCGATTAGTATCTGACCATCGCGAAGCCACTGGACATTTGGTGGTGGATGACCGTCTACATAACATGTTAACGATAATGCGGTACCAGATGTTATTTGAATGTTTGTTTCGTACTTTTTATCACGAAAACTTGGTGGTGCTATAATAATTAAACATTTAATAAACATATGGAAAAATGAAATGAATCTCAGTTTAACTTATAGAATGAATAATACAATTTCGTGTTAAATAACAAATTCAAAATACGAATTAAACTGTATTTGTTATCAACGATGTTTAATGTAATAATTTAAAATGAATTATTGATCAAAGATTGATAGATCAATACTTTTTTCATTGATTTATCTTTCAGTTAACTGATAAAGTGATACCTAAAACAGTTAGCGCAAAATTTTTAATGCTTTGACCAGCGCTATTTCGAACTCGACACTGGTAAAGACCCTCATTAAGAAGTGTAGCCTCATTGAGATACATTCGACGTCCATTTAAAACAATTTGCGCATTCGATGGTAACGTTTCGAAACCTTCCTGTAACATAGTACAAGTACCAAATGTTTTTTTTAGTAAGTAAGTGGAGCTTCTTAATAATATCCAATATTTAATTTAATTAGATTTTCCTTTTTTTTCTCTTTTTTAATTCCTTAATTGATTACTGTAATTGCAAATTGTCTGAACGCATATTCAGATTTAATTTTTGATTCTTATAAATTTGGCATATTTGTATCTAAAAATATACCTCCATTTGGAGAAGGAATTTTTTTTGAATTAAAATTATCAACAAATACAACTTATCCAAATTTAAAATAAATTTAATTTTGACACAAATGAAATACCAAAATGTTAAACAAAATGGGGAAAAGTTATTTGTTGAGCAAATAATTAGCATATATGGTAAGCAAATAAGGATGAATATTTTTTGGAAGACAAATAAATGTGTTTGCGATTGACCCTTTAGAAAGAATAGCGTTTAATTGGATCGTTTAATTATTGTTTGCTAACCATAAGCCATGAAATGGTTGATTGAAATCCTTCCTGTTCCATATCACAATTCAATATTACACTTTTCCCAACGATCACTTCCAATGTTTCATCATTACCCAATTTTGGTGGAGCTAAAAATGAATTAAGTTATAGATTAAAAATCAGAGATTAAGTCATGAATTGGAATTAAAGATTAAGTTACAAATTAAAAATCAACGATTAATCCATGAATTGGTGTCGCAGACAGTAACAGAATAAGCATAAATTTCATTTTTTATCCGAAGATAATAATTGAAACCTCCAATATTTTCAACTCCTTCTATTATTTCCTTTCATTTAAAATTGAATTTGCAATTTTTGTTCAAAGTTAATAATTAAGTTCATGTTGAATCCAAATTTTTTTATTTTATTTTCTTCAATACATTACAAAAATTACCAATCAGCACTGTCAAGCGTTAAAAAATAAATTATATTTAAGTAGTTTTATACTTTTTTCATAAACAGTAATAAAATGCGAGGTGTAATTACGTCCTATTTTAGTACCTTTTAGTTTCTAAGCTTCTTGAAAAACTTAGAAGCTATTCTTTGAATTATTATTCTCATCATTCCTCTCGATTTATCATTAATAATTTCCTAACTCGTAACAATTAATTTAATCTTTCCCAGATGCAAACCATCGTAGGATTAAATTTATTTGTGTTATATCATTTCATTGGTAATATTTTAGCTATAAATATTTTGATAATCAATGATAAATGAACATAAATTATGGATTATTTTATATGGGATGAGACTCAAATGTCTTTTATAAATTTGATACCTAATGAAGGTAAACAATTTTCAATTAGGTATGAAATATTGTAAGAAAAGAGAGATGCAAAGCTTAGGTTTATCCTTTCTTTTCCTACTTCATTATCATTAAAACTTTGCTTTCCACATTATTTTTTAGTAATTGTTATTGTCTTTCTTTTTTTTTTTTTTTT